AAATGACTCGGCCGATCTACGTTAAAACTAATCAGATTGGCTTATAACAAACCAACTTATATCCTTAAAACGGGTTTCAATTTTTTATGATCGGTTCAGGACTTTTAGACGTATTTTTACTGTTAACTCTTATAATTAGACACAAAGAAATGGCACAAGTTTGATTTTATTAGTAATTAAGTTAATATTTTAATTGTTCTAAACAATTATCCTCCTAAATTAGAGATTTATATTTTGATTACAACGTTAATTGCAATACACGACTAAAAACTACTTTGGCTTATTCTAAACTCCAAATCCCTGAGTTTTACATTTATCAAATATTTGTCATTTAATATCGATAGATAATACTACTGAGAAAGTGTAATTATATAAAAATCTCAATAAGTATTTTATAATTGCAGGTTGCATATCTATCTCGGAAATTTGTTCAATGGTGATAAAGCTCTCGGAGACAATATGAATGTATTTTTGAATGAAAATTGGCAAGACATTTTCAACGAATTGAAACCAGCCGTTCAAGATTCCTTTGCTGCTGTTTTTAAAGAACTAGCAAATAGGATGTTTAAGAAAGTTTCTTTTAATGATATTTATTTATCATGATCATTGATAATTTCATTATCATTGTTATCTTTTATTTCATTATCGCCAAAATCTACATTCGACAAGAATTTACCAAATATGCAAAGAAAATTAACACTTTTAAGTAGACTGAAATATGAAAGATTATTGTATTACATGTAGTTAATAAAATTGGATTGATTTTATTATCAAGTTGTTATCAATATAGTTGAATTTAATAATATAAAAATATATGGTGCGTTCTGAAACATTATCCAAAGCATATTATAGAATTTATTCTATAGTGTATATCCAAGATATATAAATTCTCACTTTATAATAATTAGTTTACGAGAGACCTTAATATAATTTTTAAGTATACGTTGGTTAATTGTTTTATAAGATGAACTGTGAATTTAGAAAATCTCTATAAAAGCTCACATCTGGGTGGAATAAAAAGGACCAACTGAATCTTTACCCCGACAAAGGTGTAAAAAATAAAAAATGACAAATAATAAAGTAAATTAAGTAAAAAAAGCTATTTTACAAGAGATAAATTAAATACATAGTTATTCCAACTCTGCTGATAAATATTTCTGACGAAATACTAGATCGTGATTATCTTCAGTGTTATTTCTGTAATAACTGCTCTCATGAAGCTTATAATCTGTATTGATTGAATAATGTAGCTTTCAAAATTAAAACAAGAAATTCGAGCTTTTTGGTTCCTGGCCATCGCAATTTATCATGCATGAAGGGTACAAAAGAACCAGATTACAAATATTTGAAAAACAGAAAAAAAAGATTCCTACAATCATGAATTACTGAACATAGTCAGGTAGTTGTTTGTTTAATATGTGTTATTTATTGTGATATAATTGGCTTGATTTTCATCATATTATTGCTTAAAGTCAAAGTGAACCTTGGTGACCCGCACTACTCTATACATATTGTACTTGCAAAACAATATGAAATCTAAATTTATTTACCTTTTACAAATAATTGTTATTTTAAAATAATGCGAATAGTATAAATGTTTGATTCACCTACATTCCCTCCCATAATATTCATTTGAAAATGTCATCGAATTGCCTTTAGCGATAGAAGTATCAATCAATAAATATTTTGATTATTACATAACAATAAAATTCAACTAATTATAATCAAATATAAAATAATTCATATTTTATCCAAACAATTGATAACAAGTAGTCTTGTTCAATTATATTAACAACCCGCCAATTATGAGTGACAAGTGATATTGTTTCATGAAATATATTATTTGTAAAAATTATCAATAATTATTAATTGTTTATTATATTTTGGCGACTAATCACACAAATCCAATTCTTTTAATTTTTGAAATATTCGCTATAATGTAATGTAAATAAAATTTGTGTGCTAACAATAAGTGTAATCCGCAATTATATGAATAACGCGACAAAGCAGCTCCAGTTTTTAAGTTTTAGAGGACTACCCCAATTAGTTATTTCGGCTATAATTATTGCAGTTTGAAGAATAAATAAGAGTTTTATCTGCTGTTTTTGGTATGGCTTCGACTCTAGGACGTTGTGGGCATATTTCAGATAGTTTATGTTACATCTGTGGTTAATATTTTTTCGACAAATACCGGAAACCTATGTCGAACTTTGTAGAGACATCGTAATTCAACCACTTTAAAACTGAATTGCGCAATAAAGATAAAACATGCGTTCTTTATACTATGTGAAAATATTGCGTAGTATGTTTACGTTATTATCCAGAAGAAAAATAAAACTATAATTTTAATACCCCCATCATTTAGAAAAAGGCTCTGAATCACCATGGCGATTGTTTCTCCTGTGTGGTAAATACCATCATAAACACAACCTGAATGGTATTGAGGTCTACTTATGATCAGCTACACAAACCCTATCCATGCTAATGATGAACAACCGAGAATATCAACATCTCGTGCCTAAAACGATAAAAGAAAAGACTTAAAAACTGATGTATTTGATGTCATTGATTAGAATTCATCATTCTCTATTCACTCTTATTCAAAACGGTTTTCGGAAAATTTAGAAGATATTAGCGGAAAGCAGGGTGAGAGTATCCACCAAGACATCAGGACTTTGCAGAAGCGATATCAAGGAAGGTAGGACATACACATGATGGCTGACAATTGTTGGAGCTTTTGAAGAAAGCCTTGTCCATGCTCGAAAATCATATAAAAAGATTCTTGAAAGCATAAGATGAAATATGTTGTATTTTTTTACTGTAATTTGAGGTAAAATTAATATATTGGCATATCTAAAGCGTCATAACATCTCAGGAAAATTTTTGGTGTCGCGCAGTGTAATAAGTAATT